TTATGACAAATGGTGTCAAGATGGCTAAATGTCTTATCTGAAAACCTGGAAAAAAAAAACTCATTTAGTTTAGTGGTTTTTTATGATATTAAACATTTTGTTGGCTGGACAATTTTACTGTCACACCCAGTATATATATATATATATATATATATATATATATATATATATATATATATATATGAATATGAGATTTCTTAGCTTTTTTATTGAGTTTATTGTTGCCGTGTAGTTGATTCTTATACAAATGGATAACAGTATTTTTTACAGTATTTTTATTTGAATTGTTATTTGTTTTTATTTTTCTAATGTTCATTTAATGTGTTTATGTTTTCAAATGTGGATAGTGATATTTGGAATGAGATTTAAACAGAAAAATATCATTAGAAACAAAGAAATGATTACTGAACTGTTACGTAATATCAGTTCTATATGGCAGTCAATGCTGGAAAATATCCTCCCAGATGAAGAAGAGTCTTGAAGCAACAGAAAAGTGGTTCTATAGAATGATGCTGAGGATACCATTGACCAAACGTGTGAGCAATGATGAAGTTTAAGAAAATGGAAACAAAAAGGAAACATGCTTAAAATCAGGAAGGTAAAGCTGAAATTTCTAGGGTACATAATGAAGAAAGAGGGTTTTGAAATTTTGATACTCACAGGATAGATTGGAAAAGGAATCATAGAGTTGAATATATAATTCATCACCCACAAGGCTGTACACATGCTTTTGAGCCCTATCAAGGCTGGTAAGTGAGGCTTGGGCAGCTCCACACTAGATATGGCAGCAATACTCTACTTTTTGTCTGATATAACACTTGTAAAATAGACGATGGCAGAAAGGAGTCGGATACTTTCTGGAGTGGTACAAAGACTAGCCACACTATCCAAAACATTTTGTGAGCTAGTCAAAATCAATTATGACAGTATAGACCAGATATACTATTATGACGGCCAGGTATTGGGCGGGTCACCCAACATTCATTGGGTGAGCCAAAAGGCAAATAACTTCCTATTCATGTTTGGCCAGCTTTCAAAATAGATTTAAACATTCATATACAGACATTTATATGGTAATGATAATGGCAATATTAGCCATTTCCTTATAAGGAAACATTTGACATGCATTCACTGAGCAGCCAGTAATACTGTTGATTGAGATTTATAAAATTTATAAATAATTTTACAGGAAAATAAGTTTCTCAAATCTGTATAAAATCTTTCTCTAGTAACTGTTATTGCTTTTTCCAATATTGATGGGGGTTTCTTTCCTAACCTTTTATTTGAAGTTGTGTGGAATGTCAATATCTTGATTATATCATTATTTTCTTTTTTAGTTAGATATGCTATCCATTTACAGTTGTTGTTGTGGCTGAAAGTCTTGTGGAGTTACACCATTTACTTTCTTAAGAAAACGTCACTAGGGGACACTCCCTAAGTCTCTAAATAGGCACTTACATTCTCTGTCATCCTCTTCTTCCTTTTTCACTCAAGGACAGTAAAATGTAGGTCAAATGAGGAAAATGCTTTCCCTCTGGGGAACACACATGCACGTACATGCATATATGAATCTTTCACTTCATTTTCTCTCAGACTTTCTCCTACACTAAACTTCACACACTCAAATAATTCATGAGTTTAAAAGTTTTCTTTATTCATGTTCATTGTTTTGTAACATGCAACAATATTCTATTCTCTATGTATATCTTTGTTCTGTTAATACATGCTTATCGTTTGTTTATATCTATAGTTTGTTGTTACTTTGTTCATTTATTACCTGGACTCACATTCCGAGTCCGCCATTTTTGTTGTGGGATAAATATACTAGGAGACATGTATTTTTCATCTAAACACTTGACCACCATATGCTCACAACAGTCCTCAAGTGATGTGGTGTCTGTTATTTGGTATAGATATTTGCAATTCTCTAAAACCAGTCCACAAGTTTTAAAGAAGGATGGTCATTGCCAAAATCCATAGGCTTCACTTGCTGAAAGCCAATTTTTACCATTGATATTAGAAAGGTGTAGAACTCAAATTCTACATCATTTAAAACACTAGAATAACTTGTGCAATTTTGCAAAAAAAGCAGATCACAGAACAAATCCAGCTTCACACACATTTTCAAAAAACTCGAATTCTGAATGACCAATAAACATGCAAGTGAGCGTTACTATCCACCCACGCACAAGTATTTTTTTCAGCTCATGACTGAGTTTAAAGTTGGCGCCTATTTTCTGTGAGCCACCCAAACTAAATAAATAGAAAAAATTCATTCACACTTACCAGTGAGCATTGTGACTCTGAATGACTTGCAACAAGAATCCATGTTATATAATCTTAAGTTTTAATGTTTCTATGAACATTCAACAAACATTAAGAAATCTTCACTCACTCACTCACCAATTCATTTAACACAGAAGCCTGAACTTATTTCCTGCAAATGAATTAACTTTACATTTTCCAATATTTCGAGAACATTATCTCGCAATATTAATCAAAGAAAGACAACTTCATTGAACTAAATTTGCATACAGTTTTTTATGTAAATTTATTGCTTAAATGAACAGTAACTTTCTAAGAGAAAACTTTCTTTTACAACTCACTTTATGAAACTTCATTCATACATTCTACCAAACTGCATTTCTTATCTAAACTCATCAACTAAAGTCAAACATATATATAAATTGAGTTCAACACTAATTAAACAAACCTACATTTCATTAAAAATCTATGCCATTATGTAAAAACCTTTTTTACAAAAATATAATGAAAGTTGTTTGTTTACCAGATATTGCTTTTGTTTTTTCTTAAATTTGTTTATTGCTTCTTGTTCCTTTGCTGAAGAAAAATTTGAAATTGTATGAAGGAAATATAATTTTTGTCTGCAACTTATAAAAAAATATTCTTCTCACATAAATATCCCCCTACCAAGGTGTTCTATACAACTGACAGTTTAGATATTTCTGAACGAGTTTAATGCCATGCATGACATCAATATGAAAATTTAGATCAGATGAGAACATGACCAGGAAACATACCATCAACCTAACATACACATTAACCAATTTTCTTCTCTTCTCTCATTTAATTTCTTTAATTAATTTAATTTCTTTTTTAGTTCCAGTTTCCTATTTTCAGTTTTGAGCCTTCTGCCCTCTCATATTTTTTTCTTTCCATCAGTTTTTGTCTCTTGTTTTCTAATTTGATCTTTCCATCTTTCCATAGTTTACTTGCTAGTCTTTCTTTATAGAATTCAATTTTTCTGTAGCCATAGAAATAACCCCTTGTCTGCCTCCCATTTACCACATTGAGGAGATAATTACCTGACAAAATAAAAAGTAAAGACCAATGACTTAACAGATGATTGATTATTGATCTTTGCCAGGCTTACAGAGAAGCGAGCCATTCCTCTCCCTGGCAGCATTGTGAGGAAGGAAAGATGGACTGCCAAGGCTCCTTCTAGAAATAGAATTATGATAGAGAAGCAAGTTGCAAAATCTTTAACAGGAAATTTTTCATTGCTCAATGTATATTGGCTGTGTCAGTATTAAGAGAGTAGCTGGTGGCTAATATATATATATATATATATATATGTATATGTGTGTTTCATTAAAAACGACAGACAAGGTACTACGGTTAAGCTTTTTATTTAATTTTTCTTGTGTTCGAACAAGAGCTTTCTTTTCTGGACAAAGAGTGTGTAAAAAATGTCCAAATGTTCTGAGGGCTTTTGTCTATATCTTTAGCCATTATCAAGGATGATTCAGTCTTCTAGCTTAATTGGAAGCTTTAATAATAAAAAAAAAAGACAAACAAGGCCACAATGTGCTAACCGTATTCGGAAATTAAAACATCCCTACAACACACTAAAACATACACATAATGCACACACTCAATTAAGCTGAAAAAAATTAAGTAAAACGTTTAACCGTAGTACCGTGTCTGTCATTTTTAATGAAACATGCATAAATGTAGGACTGCTGCCTAAATATACAATATATATATATATATATATAAAAATACCCATACATGTATATTTTCAGAAAAAAATATTCCAAGAGGAAGAATCCAGGTAGAACTCAATGTCTAGGACAGAGTAAGGATATAATAAAAAGGCTTAAACACTAATATTCCATGGTCATAATTTATTCCATTGGAATCGTAAATATGATCGAAATCATCAGACCTACAAATTCAAAATGAAAACAGAAAAAAACAACTCTGGAAATCAAAACAGAATTTAGAGAAAGTGTAAGTATGAGGAGGAGGGAGATGAAACCTTAATAGAGAGAATTTTAGGAGATGGGGGTGGGGAATTAAAAAGAGGAGAGAAAGAAAGTCGACGGATGTCTAATATATATATATATAAGATTTAACAAACAGCAGATATTTTTATATATAGTGTTCAATATTAAAATAATATTAAAAATAGAACATTAATAATATTATATGAGAACATTACTTAACTTTTAAATATCAATTTTATGCTGGCTTCAAAGTTTTTGGTAAAATTTCCAGTCTTCAGGTGTTCTGGTATTAAACAGTGTTACAAATTTTTTTTAAAAAGTTTTTCAATTTTTTTGAAGAAATTGAAAATACCATTTAAAACCAGAACCCTTGATGACTGGAAATTTTACCAAAAACTTTGAAGCCAGGATAAAATTGATATTTAAAAGTTAAGTAATGTTTTCATATAATAATATTATATAATATTTATATATTACATAGAATAGAAATTCCAAATTACCTCATTTGAATGAGGTAATTTGGGATTTCTATTCTATGTAATTTATATGCTTCTAAGTGATATAATTCAATGCCTAATGAAAATTATTTATGACACAACCTAATAATGTAGCAGTGGAAGTTCTATTTAGCAGAAATATGACATGAAGTATTTCACAGTAAGTTTGTAAAATTACTAAGAGATAGATGCAGACTGATACTAAACGAAACAGAAAACACCATTTGTAAACAAGGCATCTCAAAGATCATGACATTGAAACACCAATTCCCATACAACCACTGAAGTTAAGCAATATCGAGCCCAGTCAGTGTCTAGATGGGTGACTGCTTGGGAATACCAGGTGCCGTAAGTGTGGATATTTGGGTGGTATAATAGTTCAGAATTATTAATCAAAGAGCTGAGTTCCAATTCCTGTTGAGTTCATTATAATCACATGTGCAAATATCCTTGGGAATGGTTTGAATCCACTATTTCTCCCCTCAGCTATGGATTAATTAGTAAGGCTTGTATTACTAAACCATTATTATCTAAAGAAAAATATATTTCTTACAATCTAAAAAATATTTTCTGGCTTTACATGACTTGCAGATGGCTGATAAGTCATAGAAAATGAATGAGTCAAAGATCATGTCAATACAATCAGTGTCTATTATTCTCAAAGATTGTGATCCCAGTAAAGTGGATTGAATGACCCTTTTGTATTTATTACAGAGATAATTATCTTTATTCTCTAGAAACTGTTGTTGGATTTTGGCAAGGTTTTTATATCAATGTCAAATAGTTCTTATCTTGTATATTCAGCTGAAATAATCACCTTTATCCGAAAATGGATTGACCGAACTTGCAACCTCAACATTTTGAATGGAATCCAAAAACATTAGACCAACTTTTCTCAACCAGTGCACTAGATGCACCAATGCACTCTGAAAGGTAGCCAGATGCATCTCAAGTTAACAGAAGAGTAATTTATAAATTATTTTTATATTTAAAAAATTTTTGTTCTTAAAAAGCTAGAGACACCAAGGCTTTCATGTCTAAGTCAATTCTTTGTCATTTGATATTTTATATAATAATTTTATATTTTATATAATAATATTAATAATAAGGGATGTGAACATGGCACAGTGGTTATCAGTGAAAGTTGAAATTCTAGTTAAGGTCATTACAGTCACTTACATACAAATAGCCTTGGTTGGCAACCGGTCTAGAAAAAGGACAATTCTGAATTCAAAACCAGTTGGGTGTAGGGCTTGCAATTCTACCCTCTCTAGAACAGTATTTCTCAACCTACGTGCCTGGATGCACTGATTGATCCTGAAAGGTGCACCTCAAGTTAACAGATGAGCTGTTTATGAATTATTTTTATATTTAAAAATAACTTTATTTCTAAAAAAAAAACAAAAAAACTAGAGATGCATGACTTCCATGTCTAAGTCAATTTGTCATTTGATATTTTAAACTGGATGCTAAATTCCTTAATCTTTAAGAAGGAGTGGATAATCCTTTCCCTGTTTCCGTCTTCAAGGCATAACATATAAAGCATAACATTCAAAAAATTGCCAAAGCACCTCAAGTACTCATTTCACAAATCATGCAGACAGGGTGTAGCAGAAATATCTCCCATATATACCTCCTACATAATGGTAAGATTAGCAACAGGGTGTGGCAGAAATATCTCCCCCATAATCGATTGATTTTTTTATCTGTTTTCTAAGTCTTTGCAGGTTATATAAAACCAGAAAATATTTTTAGATTGTAAATTTTTTTTTGAGATAATAATGATTTAGTGATAGAAGTTTTACTAATTAACCCATAGCTGGGAGGAAAAGAGGTGGATTCATGCCTTTCCCAAGAGTATTTCTACATAAGTGAATATAATGAACCTGACTGGCATTGGAATTTGTCTCTTTGATTAATAATTCCATGCCATTATCCATTACACCATCTGCATATCCAAGTGGTTACCCATTTAGGTAGTGGCCAGGCTCAACATTGTTTATCCTCAGTGATCTTGTGTTGACTGGTGCTTTGATATGATATGACTGTAAGCTCCTACATAATGGCAAGACATTAGCTAGATGAAGACACCATTGACATTTGCCTAAGTTCACTAGCATCACAAAGGTGACAGTTTAAAATATAGGAGGTAATTCTGCCACACACTGTAGCTAATGTCTTACCTTTATGGGGAAGGTGTTTCTGGAAGGTTCTTTCCTGTCAACAGGAGGATCTTCATTTATTTATCATTAAGTCAAAACTGAACTTTTCTTATCTTTTCCTACTGACCACAAATTTCTGGCATGAGGATTTATCATTTTTAACATTATTTATATTTGGACTAATATCCTCATCTTTGTTATTGTAACCCCCTCTTAATTGCTGTTGTTCTCAAGTTCACTCAGATCTAAGGTGGTACCATCTGTTACGGTTTCAGCTATGAACCCTCCAAACATAAGAAAAACACTATAAAAGTATGAAAATACATTTTTATAGCAAAATGATCAACAATACATTTTATTTTTAAGACATTTTTTTAATGTTTATACATACTTTTTATAGATACTAATATTTAAGTAAATGTTCTGTTTATAATAAACAGTATTTTTAACATTTATCGGCTTGAATGTCTGAGAAATTTTCATAGAAACTATTTGTCCTCCAACAGGAATTGAACTCCTATCCTATACAGAACTGTCATATAGCCTGATGTGCCTTAACCAATCAAGCCATGGTGGATCGTTTGATTAGCAAGATCGATTTTACTGCCTTTAAGTTACAATCTTCAATGAATCTCTCATGTACATTCATATCTGGTCAAAGCGTATCCAAATGTAAACAAATGACACATTATGAAATGGACAAAGTCCAACAATTATTTTTAAGACATTTTTTTTTATGTTTATACATTTTATCTCTAGTTAAAGATATAATATTATGTTTAAAATATTTACATTTCAGCAAAATTACCTATCACAAACACAGAACCTTGACCAAAGACCGACATGTAAGGGTCAAGACTGCATATAGATTTTGCAGGTCTTATCAATGGATCCTATTTAATTGTGTTAGCTGATAATTTCACAAAATGACCAAAAATTTATAAGTGTAAAAATCCAACATCCTGAGTGACAGTGAATTTCTTACGGGAACTGTTTGTGAGATACAGCTAGATACCATAGTCTCTGATAGCAGAACACAATTCCTGGGTAAAGAATTCTGAGATTCTTGTAAGAATTTCTCCACTGAACATCTTGCAACCCTGACATATCACCCAAAGTCAAATGGTTTGTGGGAATGTTCCAAAGAGCATTGAAGAAAGCAAGTCTTGAGAAAGTAAATGAGGAAGCAATTCTGTTGTGGTTTTGTTAGGGGCCAGAAATAAAGACATAAGAGATGAATTGAGATATATAAATATTGAGATATATAAAATATATAAACAGAACCAGTAATACAAACATATACATATGAGAGTGTTACAGCAAGAACTGTCAGAGCTGACTGCTGGAAACTTCCCTCTCCAAAAAGCAGTACCTGCTCCTATTTATAGCTGGGAGAGTCCATGTGTGGGTAAATTACCATAAAATCTTCAAAATTTTCTAAGAGTTTACTGAGTAACACCTAACCCCAATACATCATCAGGCATAATTAATGTTTACCAGAAGAGTAAAATTGGTGTTTGACAAGTTGTTACCAAGTTGAAAAACAGTTAACAAAAGCAACACTAAAAGTTTCAAGATAAAGTAATATTTAGAGCATATAAGGATGGCAAAGAAACGGCATATCAGCAAGAATCTTGAAATTGATTAACATGGTGAAAGGGAAAAAAATTGAAAATAAAAGGCACCATAATCAGCTGAAAAAAACTCACTGATGAAAGACATGTAATATTGGAAAAACCAATAAAAATGCTATTTGTTTTCGATGTGCCAGCACCATAACAAGTTGTGAAACCTACAAGGACAAGATCTAGGCAAAGAAAGTATACTGAAGAAGTGGAAGTGGATCTGAGATGGAAACGCTACAAAATCAAGAACTTTGGTAAACTCTCCAGAAAGAGGAGAGGGAGATGCTAATAATAATAAAAAATAAAATGTTTATAAAAGTATTAATCTTAAAAGGTGGGGATGTTTTGGAGTAAATAGTATGCTCCAGGTGACTATATGAACTCATCCATTACTATAAAGTGCTCCAGGTCAGACATAAAACTGGTAGCTGTTTGGAGTCAATCTTCAGTCTAACTAATACAGGCATCATGGCAACTAGCTGAAACATTGTGTATAGTAAATCCTTATACAAAGTGTGTTATATAAGTAAGAGTGTGTTATAACAATAGTCATAGAATAGTGGTGTTATAATAATTATATTTGAAGGTTTCAAATTCTAGGTTCATTATGGGACAGAGGTAGTCCCATAATAGATGGTACATTTGCATACACATTTCATACACTAAATGTACCAACCATTATGGGACAGAGGTAGTTTAATATATTGCAATCAATTTCTATAGGAACACTGTAGCATATCAGGATTAAAGAGAACCAAAACCATCCTTCCAATTTGGGATTGGACAGTCCCAGGTAGCATACACATTTTATACACTAAATGTAAATATTATTGTCAATATATTGCAATCAATTTCTATGGGAACACTGTAGCATATCAGGATTAAAAGAACCAGCTTAGAACTAGCAGCAATCCTTCCAATTTGGGATTGAATTATTTATTACTACCTCTGTCCCATAATATTTGGTACATTTGCATACACATTTTATACACTAAATGTACCAATCATTATGGGACAGAGGTAGTCTAATATATTGCAATCAATTTCTATAGGAACACTGTAGCATATCAGGATTAAAGAGAACCAGCTTAGAACTAGCAGCAATCCTTCCAATTTAGGATTGGAATTATTTATTACTACCTCTGTCCCATAATAGTTGGTACATTTGCATACACATTTCATACACTAAATGTACCAACCATTATGGGACAGAGGTAGTAATTTTTTAAATAGGTCAGCTTTCTAAATAAGTTGTCTTGAGAAGATATCCTGATTTAATTAAAGATTCTTTTTATCTTACACTGGAACATCTCAACTTAAATACCATTCATATCATTTCATGCTAGCATCAAATTTTCACCAAAACTTAATTTTAAAATTTCTCTTTCAAAATCTTTTGTCATTGATTTGATTCTTTCAAACAAGACTGATAAACATAATATTGTGTCACCGAAAACATGTCTTCTGTTTTTGCTATTAGTATTTTAGAGCATTTCGCTATAATGTTGTAGGTGAGTTATAACTCTGAGTAAATAATTATAAAGCCCTTAACATTTCTATATACA